TTTTCAAAAATCAAAAATTGGAAAACTCGTTCTCTTTCTTCCCCTCTCTCTCGTCTCTCTTCCTCCTTCCTCTCTCTCTCTCTCTCTCTCTCTCTCTCTCTCTTCTGTGGCCGTGGCTGTGGTTTTGGGTGCATGGTGTACGACAATGGTGTGGTGCAGGTTGTCGCGATGGTATTTGGGTGCGTGGCTGTGGCTGTGGCTGTGGCGGTGGTGTGATTGCTGTGGCGAGGGTTGGGTGTTGTGCTGTGGCGGTGGTGTGCGTGGCTGTAGCGGTGGTGTGCGTGTTGTGGCGATAGTTGGGTGCCGTGGTGTGGCAGTGGTTGGGTGTCGTGGTGTGGCGGCGGCTATGGTAGATGCTGGTTGTGGTGGTAGATTTGACGGTTGTGTGGTGCAGGCGGCGATGGTGGTGGTAGTGGTGATGTTGTGGCAGTAGCAGAGACAGTGGTTTTTGTGGTGGTGTGGTGTGCGTATGGTGGTGATTGCGGCGACGATGACGGCGACAGTATGGTGCAAACGACGTTGGTGGTGGTCGGGGTGATGTTAAACTGAAAACACCAAAAAAACGTTTTGAAAATTTTGGCTTGATTATAACTGACAACACCTACAGCGATTGTCGTTTTTGGTTTTCTTTGTAAATTTTTAACTTGTAAAGAGAACGCGTTTTCACTATTTTGAAAAATCGAAAACAGAAAACAGTTTGAAGACGGTAAAGAGAATAGACCCTAATTTTTGTTAAATTTTACAAAATACAATATTAGTTAGGCTTAAAGAAAAATACGGTAAATTATAATTTTTTGACGTGTATGTTATATTATGGAAAAATATAATGTATGTAAATTTTTTACAATAGTTGTAACTTACACTATGTATTACACGGTCCGTTTAAGGATATCAAAATGACTCGTTTGCTCGAGGCTCAACCTAGGAAAAGCTCGAGCCGAGCCAGCTCGTGGCTTGGGACCATCGAGCCGAGGCTTGGGCCGAGCTTTATTTTGGAGCATCAGGCGAGCTCGAGCCAACTCGTGGCCCGTGTCACGAGCGATTTTGGCCCACCGACACCAGCTTTATTAAATAAAAAATTTAAAACAATAGATTTTTAATTCATGCATTTTTAAATTCACATTTGTATAAATTGCACAAATTTTAAATTTCAATTTGTCATGAAAAAAAACGAGTCGGCTCGGCTTGGGCCCAACTCAGCCAGAGCCAAAAGCTCGGGTCTTGGCCGAGCTTTTGCTCGGCTTTGGCCAAAAAATGTCCGAACTATTTTTGCTAGAGCCGAGCCCGAGCCCGAGCTTCAAGTTTCAGCTCAATTCTACATATCCCTAGTTTGTGTAATTTTTTGAAATTATAACTTTTATCCGATTTAAATGTATGCAAGTTTTTGAAATAACTTGCTCTGTATCAAATCCTGTTATAGTGTGATAATCCTTATTACAACTTATATAATATTTAAACATTAAACTCATTATTGATACAGAATGCATTAACACAGGTCACATGAATTCTTGATACAATTGCAAGATAATGTTTTGACGTTAACCCGATATGTTTCGAGTGAAATTGAGCGATTTTTTCCCCTCATGGGCATTTCCGAAAAAGTGATCCATGTAATCCCCGAATGTAACTTCTTTATAGTGAGCTACTCGATCAATCTTCACTAGTTGAGGCAGTGGACCAATCTTGGTAGATCGTTTTGGCGTCGTGAAAAAAGGGATCGACACTCTTGATTGTGCACTTGTGGTTCGTACACGATGTTCGGCACTTTTGTACCTTCCATTGCTTAAAATCTGAAAGGCACAAAAAATATATATATTATACCTCATATTCCGAGAATTGCTTGGTTCACTATTATCAGCATTTTACCTGTAATGCATCTCCCACGTTAATAACTATGGCACCAGGAATGGGTGGAATCTCTATCCATTCTGACTTATTTTCTTCAGCTTTTACATATAAACCACCAATACCATCTTGTAACAAAACGGTTATTGTGCCCAAGTCTGAATGGCGTCCCACACCCACCGTTAGCTCTGGGTTAGGGCATGCTGGGTAAAAGTTCATGTTCACCATATTTTGCCCAGTAAGTGCTTCTATTATCGAGCCGTGATCTTGCGTCACTCCAAGATTTGTCAATAATATTTCCAACAATTTCCTCACCATCCTAGTCGAAGCCTTCAAGTACTCGAGTGCAACTTCTCTGTAAAACAAAAGTTATATCAATAACCAAATATTAAGTGCATGTTTGGTACACAGTATTGGAAACTCGAGGTAGTGTCCAATTAAACTGGCCATATGGGTAGATTTTTAAAACATTGAAAGGAAAAATAGGGAGCTATTTAAAGTCTGTCTTACTTGCACTGGTTAGGCCAATGTTCTAGTGCCTCAGTATCATTTGTATAGGTCATACTGATATAATCTTTCCATTCCAAAGCTTTTTCCTTCTCTGGCACAAAGCTGGTTCCATACTTGATGAGTGGACTGGGGCTGACTGCCTTGAGATATATAGCCTTCTTTTCAGGTGGTTGAGCAAAGAACTTGTGGGCTGCTTCCTTAAGTGACTCCAGCAACTCGACCGGCACACCATGGTTCACCACTTGGAAGAACCCGAGTGTCTCGGCCGCTCTCACTATGGTTTCCGCCACTTGATCGTACTCAGCAAGTTGGTCGAGCTTTGATAAATCGATGGGGGAATGCTCTTGTGAGAATGCATCAAGTTTGTCTATTCGTTCTTGTGGTGGTTGGACGTATCTCTCAGGCACCTTTGCTATTCCTGAATCCACCAGACCTTTGACACCATTGCCATTTTGCACAACGAAATCAAACAAAGATTTTTCATCATCAAAACTTGGGGCCATATTTGGTTGAATATTGGTATTAATTGCTTGATGGTTTGAGGATATTGCAAAAGGGCTATCTGTGGAACTCAATAAATAGTGTAGGGGGATTTAATTTTAACATATATTTGTACATTTTTTAATATGGAAAAAACATATTTCAGATGATTAAGGCAAGATTTTGGACTTCCAATACCACTCTCAATTTTATATGAGCCTGGGAATCTTACTAGTAGAATGATTCATTCCTTGTGGTAGGTTGTGGAATTAATAAATAAATTTACATTTTTGCAATTATTTAGTATCTTGAAAACTCGTCCCCGCCTAGTAGGTTCGGCTTGAAAAATTGGGAATTAGCTCGGAACTCTATCTGATTATAGATTTTGGATAAAACCACGCCGTGGGACAGGGTTGATTGAGTTTTCTTATTGTAGCTTTCTTAAAAGAATGAAGAAAGCAATATTAAGGAGCGATTTAGTTTCGAGATAACATGCTACGTTTGCATATATATATCTTTCATATTATAGAACCCTCATGTTTTTCGAGTCAATGCCCAAGCCGTTATTACCATATACTGAATTATTAAAATGAGAAAGTCAGATTCCAACCTAACTTCAGTAGCATGAATCATTCCTGCTTCAAAGTCAATTGCTTTTGCATTGTTGTGGTTGGGTGGACTTCTGATAAGTTGTTTGATATGCTGAATGCAGATCTTGAAATATTCGTTACTTTGATAGTATTCAATATTGCATGCTAAACATGCACTTTAAGATTTGACAGACAAGTGTACAAATCCATGCAATAAATGATTACATTGTGTGTGCACAAAATTGTTTTTGGATTACATAATATGTTGCACAAGAATCTATATCGATTACTATTAATTTCAAATTCGAAGTTGATTTGGATGAGTTCCAGATGAGTCAAGTTGAAGTCTAAAGATTTCAAGCAGCTCAACCCTTAACATTAAGATTAAAAACTCTGCTTCTCACAAGAATAATTATATTTTAGTTCAAGATTTGGACAACAAAGAGTGTCTACAACTGTTTAATTTCTCTAGTACAAGAAAGTTTATCCAGTCCTATGTACACAACTCCGACAAAAACAGAAAGAAGAAATGAAATACAGACAACTGTCAATTATTGTTAGACCCAATTGTTCTTCAGTGCAAAATCATGGAATCTGAAGGAAAGCTCCCCAGCAGTATCCCTTTCGAGCATAGTGTTGGGTTCATCACTGCCTCTACTCTCGGTCGAGTCTTCTTCGAGTGGCAATGGAAGAACCTGGTTTTCATTTGGAGGGCATGTAAAATGAAGCTCCCTTGGTGATGAAGGCGGATTAGTAGACATGGCTCTCGACCTGATGCTGCCTACATTTGCAAAATTTACTGACGGGTCCCACATAAACACATGCATAAGAATAGGCACCTTGGTATGGCGGTGCAAAGAGAGTTTCTGGCTGAGGGAAACGGTATCAAAACACCGGATTGCCCCTGTCGGAGAAACCATCCAAGGAAGGATTTTTTGATTAGTTATTCGACAGACAACTAGGAGTCGGGATGCTGTAGCCGCTTGCTTGTACAGATTGTTGAGTCCCGATCTTGAAGAAGGTGTGTCAGCATCGCCTTCAATAACTGATGATATATAAATGAATCCCTGTGATGAATTTAAGATAGCATTAAAGAATCAGAACTTGTGCTGATTTCCAACGTTGCATATTTAACAGAGTGTATGCGTAAGATTTGAGGTTTCCTACCTCTTCTGTTCTGCTGATGGCAAAACCGAGCTTCGTGTCAGTATCTTTGATTTTGATTTCTATTGGAATCTCTCCTGCAAGTGGGGAGAACCACATACGAACAGCTCGTACTACGCCAATGTCTACCCCATGGTAATCCTCAAAACCATAAAGGCTTGTGTTTGCAAGATTTGATAAATCAGATAGAGAACCAGCATTTACAGTAGAAGAAGCTGTGTCTCCAGATATCTGAACCAAAAAGAATAAATTTTTTTACGAAATTAACAAGAAATAAAGAAAAAAAGCAATAGTCTCATTGTTTGTGTGTCGGTGTCTATAAGTTTGCAGTGGCAGTAAATAGAAAGCAGACTTTCGCTCAGAGATGAAGCCCTAATCCCAATTAGGTGAGTAATATTAAGAAAAACAAAACTAGAAACACACAGTAAACACAAATTATGTTGGTTCATCCTTAACATGAGAACTATATTTATAGGTTTGTAATTCCAAGTCTCCCAGTCTGTCTCTCTGACAAAAGACCCCTTAATAGATCCTTTATATATGTAGAAATATTGGGATGACCTAATACATGAATGACATGCTGTACTCCCGAACTTAAAACATAAGGTGGATTTGAAGTCAATGAGATAAATTTACACCATGATTAGGCTAGACATAGTCATAACACATTTCAATTTACCTTGGTAAGTAGCGATTCAGTCTGGATGTTCATGAAGACAGCAGGGACTCCTGACTCTTGAGACGCATTAATCCAGGATTGTGCTCGTGCAAGGGTGTCCTCCAGATCGTTGTAACGGAAAGCAACTTTATCTGAGGCTTTTGGTAAGAATAGGATAGAGTAAAAGCTGCTGGAATTGGGAATAGACAGCATTTCTTGCTTTCTTCTCTCCCATGGATATGGGACATATCCATCTTGAAGTGGAGTTCTCTCTAGTGCACTCACCATTCTTGAGGTCCTTGAACCTGTAGGAAATTTATTAGTTTTACGCATTACAGACATGAACGGAGAAATAGTATCACACAAGTGAAAGAGGGTTAGAAGTAAAGTGAGTATTGTTGAAAGCTTAAACTATCAAAAATGGGACAAATTTACTATTTGTCTTCAAAGTACCCCCTCACATGCATGTCGAATTCATACTTTCATGAAAGTTATGACATGCACACAATTTTCATAACTTTGACTTGAACTCACAACATTTGACTACTCCGGCACCATGTTGAACTACATCTAAAAGATTAATCTTAAATAGTTAAAATGAAAAGAAATTTATTTATAAAATTGTCTTTAACACTCGTAACCACAAATTCAACCATATAAATTACCTTAATTTCATTTAAAAAATACTAAATCTATACAGGAAGTATGCCATAGATCAACCTTACGCTATAGATCAACCTTCTATTACTAAGCACTGGAGTTAATTTAAGTGAGATCAAGAGCCACCTGTTCTCATTTATCTTGTTAAAGGTTCAAGGATTAGTGTGAGAGAAGGCTGATAGGAAAAAAGTAAAGAGTTGTTCTAAAATACGTCCTTTGAAGTAAAGAGTTATATAAAACTAACCGGCAAGCTAGAACACATTCAGTTACCTCATTTCAAGATTTCTAGAGCAAGCCAGCTCTTGTTACTAGGAGATTTAGGCACATAAATTATTCTTTTGTCAAAGATCTTAACACTTAAACTTTTAGATGAAGTTGTTTGTGCATCCACAAAGGTCTCAAATCAACCTTGATTTCATTTACTACAATGTGTTTTATTCTCTAGTTTTCTTATTGGATTTGCCTCTAATCCCATATCCGGATTTTTCTTCATAAGGTTTCCCTTCCGTGTGGAAAATCTCTATCCTTAATGAGAATGGTCCCGAATAGGAAAAAGTTCGTGAACCAGTCCTCGCGATGTATATCACCCAAGCTGACTTTTTAATAAGTAATCAATTGCTTATCTTATTAATGATTGTCTTTTTGTTTGTCAATAGATTAGGTATGAAAGAGTGCCATGTTGTTAGAGGAAATGAATTTGTTATTTGCTTTTAAATGGGAAAAGACCTAATAGAAAGCAACACCCACCAGAAGAGAAGTAGAATGAACATGCCTTTGTTTTAGTTTCATTTTTTTCCCTTAAATTTTACTTTTCAAAGCCTAGCGCTAATCTTAACCATATTTTGAAAGATCCACAAATACTAACCATTTAGTCACAACTCATTTTTTAAAAAATAAAATTTAAATGAAACCCGAACGAGGCTAAATATTCGAGTCATAGTAAACTATTAATTTTAATCGCACATTTCATCAACTTCTATCAAAAGTTACCAAAAAATTAATTTTAATCCCCACCGAACATGTACTTAATCATCATCACATATTTTTTTAGGTAACATATTATTTGTTTGTCACAATCTATTCTTTTTTTTTTTTTTTATGTCAGCCAGTATTCCAATAATTGGTCACCANCCCCCCCCCCCCCCCCCCCTCCGCCTCTCTTTTTAAAACAAAAAAATATTAATAGGATTATTGAGAAATCTATAAGCTTATTCCAAAGCTCGCTCATGAAACTAGAGACTACAGCGAGTCCTCCAAGCCATATTCGTTGACACCTTCCTTCAAGAATCTTTTACAAGATAGCCTTATCTCACGTTCAAGTGCAGATTCCTCGAAATTCTCCATTCCCCACCCATTCAAGAATAAAATAAGAAAAGAACAAAAAAAATAAAAATAAAAAAATCACATGTCGAGGAGAAGTGATTATATAATATCTAAGGCATTGACAAATAACAGTGCCCCTATATAAATTATATTAGATAAATAGAAAAAAATATAATTAATATTATTATTATTATTTCTTTTAAGATTGATTAAAGAGATTTTATAAAAGGAAATGATGTTCATAAAGATAAAGAAATGATCGACTATAATTTTAATATGATTACCCTCTCATCAAATGCGTGAGACACTCCTTTTGACAAAATAGTTAAATATAATAGCCGCCACCTACTTATCAAGATTTCATGTATCATATTCTTGATAAATATGTATTAAAATTAAATATAAATAATTTATTTATTCTACAACCATTCAAATTAGTGCTTACAAATAATATATTTAAGTTAAAAATTTCTCGCGATAGCTCGCACATGAACCTATGCCGCCGATCCCGAGGTGGGTCGGCGCCGAGACAAACTCGTGCTTGTCCTAGTTTGATGTCACCAACAAACTTTTTGATGAGTTATTTCTAGAATAATTCTTGTTGTACACCCTTATATACCAAAAATTA